CAAAGGTAAGTAGCTCAACCCTATGCTCCGAAGCCTAGTCCAACCTGCACAGACGCCCAAAAAGGTGCGGTTGAACAGCACAAGTCCAATCTAGTCTCCGGTCCTTAAACCCGACACCGTAAATCCCCGCTCCACCCCAACCAGAGCAGCAAAAATCGGAGTCAGCAGGAAGATCCCTTGGCGGCTGCAGGCGCCAGGGCGTTGAAACTGTAGGTTTCATAAGCGTAAGACGGGTAAGGTTTAGGGCTTTTGGGCTTCAGGTCTCAGGGTTTCGAGCTCAGTGTCAAACAGTTTTTCCCCTGATGCTCGCGACTATTTATATGGCCTTCCACCGCAGAAGCCTGATCGTTGGGATTGTGTCGCCAGAAGGGTTGAAGTGTTCACCTTTTCTTGTGGGCTCTGTGGGTTGGTGTCTCAGACGCTTATCATGCTAGGCTCCTGCCTTGCAACACATGAAACCTCTGAAGGAGAAACGGTCCGATAGTTTTTTTTGAGGGGCTGCGCTTTGGCGGAGACATGTAATAGTAGTAATAGTAAAAATAATAGTATTCAGGAAGAATGGCAATATTCGTGATAACAGTTCTACTAGTAATAATGGTAATCATAGTAATAAGTTGCTGAGCCCCTGGAATGCTTAAGACTGCTTTTTGGGGTCTACAGCCCCTTAGAAGCATCTATCCAGGCAAAATCCAGGTATTTGGGGGAGCTGAAGCAGTCTTAAGCATTCCAGGGCTTAACGGTTGCTTAACGGTTGTAGGCCAGGCAGAGGGTTGAGGTAGATTTTTAGTAACTTTTTAGGGTTCAGGTAGACTTTTGGGGCCTCATGCTGGTACATTTTTCTCTCACTGCAAGACTCGCACATCCAGGTTCCTATACCCGGAGCCCTAAACCTTATAGCTTATAACTGATAAGTAGATCCTAAGCCTTCATTTCAGGACGTGGCCGCATTGTTGCTTGCAAAGGCTGTGCACTTCTCTTGCTCGTCAGCTTTATCCCGATGGTTAAAGACAGAGGGTTAGTTTATTCCAAAATATGAGAATATGTGAGGCGATTTCGGTGAATTCGACAGAAACCTAAGTACCTTGTCCGCCTCTTTGAATGCCTCTGTCTGATTTGTACTCGGCCTATGCCGAACATGGCGGCGACGATGTTGCTGATGAAGGTTCCCGGTCCCTTGTCCGAACCACAAGTCTAGAAGTCGCGGTGATGCAGTTGTGATTGGGCAACCTGCCTTGGGTTATCACGTGCAGTTTTGATCCAGGTCACGAAGTCGCTCTCCGGTGGGTCAAGTTCCTGGGTTCGAGGATGTCATCAACTGGGCAGACAAGTTCTTGGAAGCTGTGTCCATTAATAGGGAGCGCCTGCTCCAACGGTTGCAAGCACCGCTAGTTGCTGGGCTAGCACTGTCCACTTCTTGCATAGTTTAGAAGAGGTTGCTTGTGCATTGACCTGAGGTTCTAGCAACTGGCTGCTCTGGCACAGGGGCTCCTGGATATTGTCTCCGAGAGCTTATCGGGAGATCGAATTATCGTGAAATTTTGGCCTCAGACAACCATGTGTCTCGGCGTAGCTAACTTGAGACGAAAAAATGATTATTGTGCTCGTCCAGCGCTTCCCATGATCTAGGCCCAGACGAGGGAGTGGCTGATGCAAAATCATCACGTAGACCACGTGTTTGCTGATATTTCCCATGGCAGGAGCCGTGGAGCAATCACTTGTGTGTGTGTGTGTGTGTGTGTGTTCGCTGCGCCTGGGCAGGACAGGCGGATACTGTCATGTTCATCAACGTCATTGCCCAGCTCCACGACAGCCTTCCTCGCAGGCAGGTTCATGCGTGCCTTCGAAGAAAAACCACTCTGCGGATTCAGCGGCAGGTGTGTCCGGATGCCCCCGACTTGTACTGCGTGGGGTTCACGTGCAAGCTTTTCAGTGTTGAATCCAATATTCGCTTTACCCATTCATCTGCGGCTGCAATGTTCACAGACAAGGAGGGCAATGTGGTGGCTTGGCTCAGCCTGGTTAAGCAGACTTGCATCTTTTGTTTTGCTTTCAGGCCAACGAAGTGGGCAACCTAGGTTCCCAACGCCGTGCCGTTTGTCGAGGCAAGCAGATGGGTGCGCGCTTTCAGGCCCAAGCGCCTGGGCAAATATGTCATATCCAGCAGTCATGTAACTTGCGACGCTGGGCCAGCAGCCGCGATCAAGGACCGTGATATTGGAAAATGTAGCAGGGTGCCGCCGTCGTGTTGGCAGTCAGCTACCTGAGCATGACGAATTCCAGGCGGGGCCTGCTTCTGACGCACACAGCCACATAGCAGGCGCTTTATTTGCTTGTTTGCCTGTTCCCCCTTTCCGTGTAGTGAGCATAAAGCCTGAAGCCTGAAGCGTATTCGACTGCATGCAGCCTCTCGGCCCCTTCTGCAGGGAGTTCAGGTTGCTAGTTCATCCTCATGATCCGTGAGAAATTCCAAGGTAAGGGAAAAGCTATTGTTGCTGCAATCTAGTGAGCCCTGTAGTTGTGGCTAGCTGCGCCGCGCTTGTGCTGCTACTCGGAGATGTGGCGGCTCTTCCAGGGCGAGGTGGAGGCAAAAAACCAAGCGCGCCGCTGCCGTCGCGCATGTCGCGCGGAAGCTCCTGCTGTTGGGGTTGATGAGGAGGAGTGGGCATGCGGAGGGTGACTCATGGGGCTTCTGTAGGTGTATGTAGGTTAGGCGGTTAGGCGGTAGGCGTATTGCAGCGTTGTTTTTTGCATTTGCGCAGAGGAGTTTCGAGCTCGGAATGCTTTCCGAGCACGCGGGAGGGCGCACGGCCTAGCCGTTTCGAACGGCATTGCTGCAAAGCAAGTCCAGCGGCAGGCTTCGCGGGTGAAGCACCACGTCATGAACGAGGCCCAGAACGTTGCCAGGGTGGTGTTCTCGGATTACGGCCGGGCCCAGAACAATGCTTCGGTGCGATCTGTGCAACCTGATTTATGCGGCCGCGTGTTTGTTTTAAACGGTTGAACGTGGGCTATAGACGATATTTTTTGCTGCCATTCATTTCGTTGGTAAGGCAGGAATCCTTTGAGTTCGTTGACGAGGATGGCCAGATGCAACAGTACAGCAGCACAACAAGAAAGACGAAAACGCTTTCGAACATGAAGATCGTGGCCCTTGTCTCACACGTAGAGGCGCAATCCACAGCTTTGTTGACTTGGCTCTCGAAGGCCCCTGTCGGCCACGCAATATTCGTGAGACAATATGATGACACGAATGTTTGGGTAGCTCCAACTGCAGAGGCCTCTGATCCTGATGCGGCAGACAACCAGGTGAAGAAGGTTGGCAAGTTGGGCCGGCGACGTTGTGCACCTCTTCTGGGAATACTGCAGCACGTCTTTGTCAGGCGCGTGGACCAGTACGAAGCCGATACGTCTGCAGAGAGTGTCCAGATCCATGCGCCTTCACAAATCCTTCCAAAGGTGGGTTGCGCTTGCACGTGAAAATTTCAGGCTGTAGGCTGTAGGCAGGCTATAGGCTATAGGCTATAGTCCAAGCTATAGTCCAATGTGATACAACTTGCAAGTTGTTAAATTGTAACCTGGAACTTGCCCACACTCCCTGTAGGCCAACGGTGCCACGCTGTTCGACAGAACCTGCAGGTGGACTCTGGCGTCGCCCAAGGGTGCTTCAATTCACCTAGGGGGGCAAGCTGCAGAAGACCTGATTTCCAATATTCCTCTGAAAGTCGTCATCACATGTGTCTTGCCAGCGCTGCGTCTCACTACGTTTTTGCTAGCGCTGGTTTTGTATCGACGATGCTGCGGTGTTTAACCCGGAACCCTAGACCCCAGTCTAGACCTTCTAAACTTCTACTCTTTTATATTCTAGGAATTCTATAATATAGTCTATAGTCTATTGACCCTAAGCCGCAATTATGCCTTCTAATGTCTAAATGCTGAGGCAGTGATTCGTTGAACACGAATCTGATGGTGACAGCTATGGAACAGCAGATGTGGCTTGATCAACGGGCAACTGCCTCCAGTGTCACCGCTGTGCTTCACCAGTGGTGTCTGCACCACCAGGGGTCGCTGATCAAGAAGCCTATTATATTGGGAATGGGAGGCATAGCCACAGGCCTGTCTGCCTGTCTACCACTTTCCTTGGTTGCAAGGGCTTTGGGGCTTTAGCTGTCAAGGTTCAGGTTTCCAGGGTATTTTTGGTCAGCTGGAAACTTAAATCAGTTTCTCCGCCTTCCCCCATATTCGCGGCAGGGCTGGTGCGGATGGCGCATGCTTCAAGGAGTTCGCTGTTCCAGCAACGGTTGCAGAATGCTTTGCAAGTCCTCACGCAGCAAGCGCAAAGAATTCCTGTGCTCGTCTTGCCAGCATCGACTCGGGCGGCAATTCAGTCGAACCGGCACAAGCTGTCACTCTGTTCTGGTGACTTGTCTGAAGAGGATTTTGAGGACACTTTATCCCTTCTGAATGGAGAGTGGAGTGAGCCGCTGGAAGGCGGTCTCGTGCACTATTGTGCGACAGGCTGCTGCCTGGACGAGGACACGTTCAGGAAGCGTCTGCGGGATTGCTTGCAGGTTTTGTTTGGGCGTGGGTTTTCAGTTCCTTTATTATATAGGTGGAAACACTGGGAACCGGCATCATGGTACACAACCCGCGGACTTCTCGTGCATGGTCTTCTTCCAGTGCTGTGGAAGATGGCCCGTCTCGAGACAGCTGACAGCGTCGATGAGCTAGCCGCGCTCGATCCAGACTCTGCAGACATGAGCCCAGCGCTTGTGCAGCAGATTCGGTCCGCCAAAGTTGAGCGCATGCTCTGCGATCCGGGCGCAACGGACCCTTACCTTCCAAGCAATTGACTTTGGCTTGCGTGTTTGAACCACGGTGTCCGGTACGGGCTTTGCTCTAAAGTTCTAAAAACGTTCCTGATCCTGAATCTTCCGATGAATTGTCTTGCCGAGGCCACGTTTGCCAAGTCCCTGGTGGTTACACAGCCTTTGGCGCACTTCATGGACCAAGTCTCGTACGTGGAAGTGGCGCAGTCACGCGCACGCCTGCGGGCAGTTGGACTAGACCTGCCAAACAGCCGCTGCCAACTTGAACGCCTGGAGGTGGCCGAGCTGAATCTGAAGCTGCTTTCTGGAGAGTCTGGCGAGGAAGTCATTGCGGAGTATTATGCGATGTTGCAAGTGCCAGAGGCGGATGACAGATGGTTTGCGAATTTGGGTGTGCAGAAGCAGGGGTGCGTGTCGAGCGTGCTGTTGGCCATCTGCGATGCATGGCGACGGCTGGTGCTTCCATTTCAAGCCTTGCCTTGGCGGCTGATGCGGATCATTGTGATGGAGCCAGTGATGGCGCTCGACTATGCGTCTGAGTTGAGGACACAGCACAGCAACTGCGAGCAGTGTTCAGATCCGCTGTTCTCCAAGGTCTTTCTGCAATGGCTTTTCCAGGAAGGTCTTTCGCAAGAGACCCGTGTTGGCAGGATGAAGCGCCTGCAGGTGTCTGTCGCTGCAAAAATTCAGAAGTTATTTGAAGTAGTTATTTGAAATAGTCACTAAATTAATAGTGTACAATTTATGGTTGTCTGGTTAAGTTATAGGTTAGTCGTAGTTATATAGTCATAGTTATAGTAATTTTAGAAGGGGGCAAAGCGCTATAGGCTATAGGGGCCTCAGGTAACCTTGGCAATTTCAATGGACCGCCCGCAGGTGCTGTTCCAGGACGTTTTGGTGTCCCTTCCTGGCTCTTCCGTAGCAATCGAGAGGCAGCACGCGAACGTCCAAGTAGATTGCATGGCGACAAAGCAGGGTCCACCACGGCCAGCTAGTGTGCAGGCCAGTTCGTACATAACGACAGTCGTCCTCGCGCACAAGCAACTCCTGAAATGCCTCGAGAAGGATACTTTTGGTAAAGCCTCCGCGAGGATCCGAGCTGCAATGAGATCACGGACAGTGGACAGCGCAGCCCCCGCACTTGGGGTTGGCGCAGCTCGCCGCAGCAAGCTGAAGCCGGATGGCACCGTGAAAGGACGCCCGGGGCTCTTGAAGGGCATGTTGCCCCTTGGCTGCCTGCGGTGGCGGTTACATCAATGAAATGGGGCTGAATACTTTATAGGATTGATTTAGGTGACAATTTCGGTGTAGTTGAGTACGCTTGGTTGGTTTTCAGCGTGAGGTCAGTGCGGGGCAACAAAGTGCAGAAGGAGACGGGCAAAAGCCGGCATGTGAGTGCCTTCAATGTTTTCCAGAAGGAGGTTTGCTCCAGGACACACGTGCTCTCAGTTCGGTTTAGGAGCGGGTGTTTATTGCAGGAACTTGTGCCAAATTCGGTCGTGTCTACATTTTCTGATGAATATGCAATATGGGTTGAGGGTCTGGGTTAGTTTAGGATAGGGCGCGTGGGTTAGTAGTTTAAGTTAATTATCAATAATGAAATAACAATATAAGTTAAGTTAGGCATGTGGGTTGGCTGACCTCAAGTTGTTGGTTGGGGGTTTTGCAGCAGGACCATGAGCAGGGCCCGCGGACACAAGGTCGGCAGCAACGAGCATCGGGCCATAAATCGCCAGGTCTCGGACGCATGGAAGATCCTCTCAGCTGAGCAGAAGGGTGCTTACAGGGCAAAGGCGGCGCAAATTCAGCAGCAACGCCAACAGCTTCAGGGCCAGTCCTTGAGCGGCCCAAGCGCGGCCGCAGATGCTGCCACAGGTGATTGCGAACTGAGCGCTGCTCAGATTAAGAGGCTAACTAGTGGCCGGCTGGACAAAACCTTGTCCCAAATTTCTGGTCACAGCTACTGGGACTCTGGCCTTGCCCTTGCAGACCATGTTGCAGCTCTGCGCTCAAGCCTGGTAAAGGTTCCGGAGGATTGCGCGGGCATGACTGCTGCGCGTGAAGCGCACCGCAAGACTTTTGATCACGACCCCGAAATTTTGCCGAACCCTAAGAAGAGTCCCACGTATATGAGGCCATGTGCCACGCGTGAAGCAGGGACCTGCGTGGCGGATGCTGGTTACTCGGCTACTCTGGCTCTGGTTTCCCAGTTCGACACGGCCTTGCAGCAAGCCAAGCTAGTGGGCGCTCCAGTTCTTGTACACTTCAACGTACAGTTGCAGCACGATGTGGATCGTGTATTGGCAGCCGAGCATTGGATGGTGCTGGCAGGCGTGTCTCGCAGGCCACTTTGCCATTCCATCATCTATGTGCACGAGCAATCTGGGCAGTTGCGTCTGACCGCACGCGCGGGAGCTCTTCATGTCGGAACCCTGCGTCAGAAGCTTCGCAGCTTGGTGCAGGCGTGCCAGTTGGTCAGGCAGCAGGCAAGCGACTTTCTTGCCAAGGCTGAGCCGATTACAACTGAGACTCAGGCTTAATAAAGTTGAGCGTCCGGTTTTTCTGCTCCCTGAAGAAGTTAGACAGTTAGACGGTAGACGTGTGTGACATGTCGAAGACAGGTGACTATCTTCGATGACATCCAGATTGTTGCGTTCGAGTCAGAGACAATGGACGTTGCTTTTTCAATGCCGTCAAGCAAGGTGGCGAGCTTTCACATCGGCACCGGTGATCACGCGCCTGCTGCTGCCCCTGCAGCGGCAAAGGCTCGAGCAGAACCCAGGCTGCCATTTGGCATGGACAAACTGATCGAGCCTCCGGCTGGGAAGAAACGCAGGCAGGCAGCTGCGCCAAATGCAGATGATGATGTGGGCCACCTGAAGGATCCTGCGCCCTCCTCCGGCAAGCTGAAAAACAAGCAGCCCCTTGGTTCACAGCGATAAGATAGCCCCTCAGCCCCTCCACGCTACTCGAAAGTCAATCAGGAGTGGTAGTAAGTAAGCAAGTAAGTAAGTCAGCTGATTTTAAGTTGGGGTCTCCATTAAATTCTGGGTAGGGTCTGGGCTGTTCATTAACCTACAGTCTGTATTCATTACTGCTATTACATATTGTAGTTGTTGGTTGGTTGTCTGCTTTGCAGTGTTGCGTCCATAGCTGTTGGTGAGCACGCGCCAGGGCGCTGGCGGATGTGTGTCCAGAGGATGACGTGCCCGAGGATTTGTTGGGCGTTCTTCTCGGGGAGGATGCGCAAGCCGAGCATGACCGTGTGGCAGCGTTGGAACGGAAGTTTCAGGATCAGCAGGAAGATGGCGCAGTGGAGGAACCCAGCTCTTCATCTTCAAGGAAGCGCAAGAAAGCAACAGCTACAGACGTGGCCGCTCCGGTTGCAGCAGAAGGAAAAGTGGAGGCGTCCTCAGCACGCGATCCGTCGCACTTCCAGAAGCGTGTCGGCATTCAGGGTTTGGCACGCGTCCAGAGGAAAGGTGTGAAATGCATGCATTGTTTGGACGAAGTCCCCAAGAATGAATTCAGATTTGTCCTGGCTTTCAAGACAAGCAAGCCCCCACGGTCCATACATACAGAGTGCCTCGCGCAAATGAGTCCAGAGGCTGTGGTTAATTCGATTGCTTTCCTAAAGGCCCATCAAGATGGAAAGTTGAGCGCAGCTGAGAATGATATTTGCTGCGAAGCGTTGGAGTCTCTTGAAGCTCTCGCGCCAGCGTAGCTGGCGGTAGTTCGCTACACATTTCCCAAATCCTGAGCCTCAAACCTAACCTCGACCAAGAGCGAGCGCAGTGGAGACTTCAATTCAAGCGCTGCTGTCCTGCAAGGTCCTGAATGCAAGCTCTAGGGATTGGGTTGAGAAAAGTGAACTGCAGCCCAAAGCAAACGTGTGCGAGAGCTATCGTTGCGCATCGTGCCCAGTGTTAAATACTGCTGCATTTGCCTTGCCTTGATTCGCCAGACTCCGCTGGACTACTTGCTGAAGGGCACCATGAAAGTCTCCGTTGGGGATGGCTGCGTGGTTGACGAAGAGATAGGGCTGGAGCTGATACCGGGCTACAAGGTCGCAGTTCACAGTGTGAGGCGCCTTGGAGTTGCCATGTGAAGGTGAGTAAGCGGCAAACGTTGTGATGTGCAATGACAGATCTAGGAGTTCTGTGGTCCGTAGAAGCACGTTGCTAAGGTCCTCTGATTATGGTTTGCCTCAGACACGGAGCAGGATTTATTTCGTCATGATCCGGCAAGATATCCTGGACAGATGTCCTACCGCTCACGTGTCTTATCCAAATCCGGCATGTGCAGTTCAAATGTCATGGTGAGACAGTGAGACAATCAAATACGATCGCCCGTGGCAAGGAAGAAATCGATCGCTTGCTGTCCTTGTTCAGGACATTGCTCCCGCAGCGGACTGTGGCAGACTTATGCAGTTATGTTGCAGAAGCAGACCATGATTGGACAGAGCATGAGGAGGCGCGCTTCCTGTGCAGTGCAGCCTGTGATTTTGTTTTTCTAAATCAGTTACTCATTCGTTTGTCTTCCATCCAGTCCATAACATTATCGTCCATGAAAAGCAGGAGCCCGGCGAGTTTCCGGGCAAGCATTTGTCGAGTCAGCAGCCCTTGCCCTCGCGACTGAGTTGCATACAAGGGGGGGGTGTGTGGCCTCACAAGTTTGCGTGCGAGATTTAAGAGGCAGGCGTAGCAAGCAGTTGCGGTGAGTGTCTTGTGCAATTGCATCATCCGGCCCAGTCAGCCATGGCCCGTAGTCATAACTTGGCGATTTCCGTAGATCAGGCATGATCAAGCAGTAGTAGACAGTTGACAGTATACATATTCGAAGTGGAGTTTAGGTTTAGGGTCTAGGCTAGGGTTAAGTATGAGTCTCTACCATCAATGGTGATGATTCCCAATGTGCTGTGTCCAGCGTCACTTCGCAACGACAACGACAATAAATCGAGAGGAGCTGCCAAGACTGACACTACGAGGGCACTTTGCTTGGGCCCTGCGGCTTAATCTTGATCTATGTTCCGGGGAGCCTCGAAGCTGGAGCGGGATGATGGTATCAGTTTTGCGACTCCAATCACAAAGATTTTTTTGTGCTGAGTGAGCCAGGAGGCCAGTGGAAGCGTGTGGCGTTCGGATCTCTGTCTCTGTCAACCCAAAACCCTAACTTAACCCCAAACCCTAAATACAGCTGTGGCGGCGCCATGACAAAGATCCGTGCCGCCCGCCAACCTTGGAATGATTTCGGCTTAAGCCCACCAGTGCCCCCAACCTAGTACCGTATATAAATCATATATTGTACATTGTACAAGTATATCATCAGTACATTTCAGTATATTATACTTAATTATAATTATAATTACAAATTATACATTATAGTTTATATAATAATATAATATATTGTATTTGTATCAGTCCTAAACCCTAAGCCCTAAACCCACCCTCAACCCTAAACCCTAAGCTAGGGATTGCCACCGTCGTGTCATATAATTACAATATAATACTATATTTGTATCAATCCTAAACCCTAAGCCCTAAACCCACCCTCAACCCTAAACCCTAAGCCCTAAGCTCGAAAATGCGAGTGCAGTTGAGG